AAAAAAAAAAGGGAGAAACCATACCTAAAGGAGGGCAGTAAACCATGCTCAATTCCTCAGCAGGTAGTTTTTCCAGTATGTGGTGTAATCTGAGGACTTATTGTCATGAGTTGTTAATCTACTCTGAGACTTGGGACTTTGATATTCTGATCATGAATATATTTTTGAAACAAAACTGAGAGGTCACAGTGGTTTCCTCTAGTATCTATAGGTAGTCCTTGCTTAACAATCTAGTGACCATTCAAAGTTACAATGGTGCTAAAAGTGACTTATGACCAGTGCTCGAAGTTACATCACAGTGCCCCTGTGGTCACATGATCTGAGTGCTTGGCAACCAGCTCACACTTACGATGGTTGCAGTGTCCTGGGGCTGTATAAGCGCCATTTGCGACCTTCCCAGACTTTGCAGTATATTTATTAAAAACAAAAAAGTACCCAGCCTCTTTTTTTCCCTTGGCATTTCTGTATCCAGTAAAGACTGGTTTTCATGTGATATATCATACTAAAATACATGTACTTTTTATTAAGTGTGAAACAGCAGAATGCATTAACTGTTAAGATTCTCTAAAAGCTATACAAGCAATGGAGAAAATGCTTTTTCCATTTTCTCCTTAAAGGGAAATAAATATGGTACTTTTTACCTATCCCAGTGTATTCTTTAAATATATATCCCATTCTTCAGTACTGGGAGTTTATGCCAACTGGATTCCATGAGACATTCTTTAATTCGTTATCAACTAGAACACATTTCTGCATTCTGGGGCTGCGCTTTTCATTTTCTTAATCTCTGAAGGCTACCAAGGAGAGTCTGTTGTGTGGTGTCGGGAGGCTTTTAATGGGCAATATGCATCATGCTTTGCAGAGGCTTAACACAGGTGTTTTGCTAGCCAGTGTGAATTCTTTTCAGTGAAAATCTGTGGTTTGGGTATGTGAATTCTCTTATGTCTTTAAATTCAAACAAGCCACACCTGCTTACAATGAAAATGAAAATAATTGACTTGATTCACTGCATTGGGTATGTTTGGTGGGTGGAGATAGAATCCAAACCGCAAGGCTAAGAAATGGGGAACACCTTCACTGCAGAAAGGATTTCTTTGTCCAAAACAAAATAAATTGCAAGATGTAGAAATCATATTTCACAGTTTACATTGCTTTTTTTTAAAGCAACACTGAGTGTATTTAGTTTGTCACTGAGGTATTGAGGGTTTTTTTGCTTAAAAAATAGTCCGTCATCACAAATGATAAAATTGCTTAGATTTTTCTTCATGTGGAGAAAAACCTGCAGAATTTTAAGAGAAAATATGTCCAATATTCAAATCCAGTTATGGTTTTGATAATTGCTTATAATGAAGATGGGGTTGCTATTAGTTATCCTGACCGTTTTAATGTAGAATAATGTCATTCCCTTTTTGAGATACGGTTTCCTTGAGGTCTTTAGTATTTCAGTTCTTTCAAATTACTATGAAGAAAACATTTGATTTTGGAGTATACTATTGGTTGAATTCTGAATATAAACAATCAAACTAGAATATTAGTAACTGACTTCCTTTATTGAGTCTTTTAATCAGTCTTTTCCTTTTCTGTGATTCTGATTATATTTCTTTCCTTTTTCCTCCCAGTTCTTAGTCCTTGCTACTTTGCTTATTGCATGGCTTACTTGGGGTGACTTCAACTTTTTTTTTCTGAAACATTTCTAAGTGCAGTTACGTTTTGTTTATGACAAACTGTAGGCAAACTTGCAAAGTCTGTTTGCAGTCATTTGAAGCTTTGTGACACAAGAAGGGAGAGAACATTTGATATTCCAGCCTGTTTAAAATAAAATAATTTTGATTTTAGAAGTCCAGCATAAAGATATAGCCAACAGTATGCTGAAGTGCTAAAAATCTAGAAGTTTCTATTCTAATTAATGAGAAAAGGATAAATTTAGCTATTTGAATTATTTGTAATGCTCTAAAATGGGATTTCTCCATTTTAAATAGACTTTTTTTTCTTTCTACCTTGTAGAAGAACAAGAAAAAGAACAAGAACAAGACTCTTCCAGATAGTGAATTGCATAATGCCTTGTCAAGCTTAAGTTCAGCACCATCCAGTCTTGAATGTTCACTTACACCAAATACGGCTGATGTGAAAATCCCATTAGAAGAAAGTCAACACTCAGAAGGTAAGTTGATTGACTTAATACCATCCACTGGTGACAGTAGTGGCCAGATTAGAAATAGCAATTTCCACGCAGATCAGGGCCAAGAATTTGTGGGCAGAACAGAAATCCAGGCCCAATCAGAGCAAAATAATAAAAATGATGCAGTAAGTCAACCTGTGGTTGCTGCTGTCCCAGGGGAGAAGATGGAGGAGGAATAGTTGGTAGTTTATAGTTGGTAAACAGATGGATCTTAACAAGAAACAATGTGCCACCATTTCTGTTGGGCTTGGTCAACTTTCAGAGACTACATCCACATCAGATGAAAGTCTAACACATCCTGTTTCTAAGGAAGACATGGACAACAGAACTTCAGATCACAATATTAATGTTACACCTTCTGAGGACGAAAGTACAGGATCAAGTACTGAATATCAAAACTCTGGAATGAAGAGATCTTTGCCTGAATCTGAAGTGAGACACAGCAATACAACAGAAGTTATAGAAGAGCCCAAGCGACAAAAGAGTGCTTCTGGTTCAAAAGTAAATTGCTCATCTTATTTGTGCTATCAGTCTCTTTTCTGTTAGTGTAATAGGTGGGAATGACCTTGGGAGACGGGAAGAGCTGCAGCCAGGGCAATTGTTGGATAAAAGGCAGCTTAGCTCCCAGCAGGAATGTGGGCATGGCAAACATCTCAGAAGGGACCCTTCCTAGTTTCTTGGGCTGTAAAGGTGAGGGGGGAGAAATGTGCTTTCAGATTTGCAGGATTCTATTAATGTAACCTTAGTAATAAAGTGGAATTAGTTCATCTGGGCGTGCTTCCTGTCTGGAATACCTTGCAAGGCTGACACTTGGCCACTTTGAATACTCTTTTTAGGGGGAAAGCTAGAACATACGCTAAGTAAATATATAAGATTGTATAGATGGTTATTTTCCATGAACCAATAAATACATTCTGCCCCTTAATTAAAATCCTTGCTATAGCTAAGGATTCACAGCTTTAATCTTTGTATATCCTATTACATCCTAGGTTCCTTAGAGACAATTACTTTTGCAGGCCACATGTAAGAGGTGTGACAATTTGATATCCATGGGTGTGATTATCCATGTCATCCCTGCATAGTATCTGTAGCATAGAAATTTTACTGGACTGCCAATTCTTATGAGGTATTTTTTTAAAAATAATTTTGAAGCCTCCACCATGGATTGCCTGCAGCATCCTCACAGACCACCAGCGTTTCCTAGACTATTGTTTAGGAGCCCTTGCTGTAGCAAATTCTGTAGTTCTACAACAAGGGAGAAGAACATAATATCTGAATACTTAACGGATCTAGATTTCCAAGTCTACTGAAATCAACTGCTTATGATTAGAAATGGATGCAACATTTTACACCCACCATCTTAGCCGGGTAAATAGCATGTTGGAGACTGGTGAAGTGTGCTCCAACAAAGGAAATTTTAGCAGCAGCAGCAGCAGCAGCAGCTTGAGATCCCCAACCCACAATCTTCTATAAAATATCATGAATCTTATTAACCTCCTGAGAATGTTTCTCCTGAATATTTATTGTTTTTCTATGATTGAAAAAAGTTGTAAGAAAGGAACTTTGAACTTAATAAGGCTTGACTAGAGTTTAGATTTGTACTTGGCTTAAGACTCTCCAAAACAAAACATGGCCTGCTCAGAGTAGAATCTTTATGCCTTATATCAATATGATGGTGCAATTCCCCGTTATTCCTAGCATACCTTAATTCCAGCGCTTTCTCCTATCCTTCCCATGGTTTAATGGACTTTTTACCGGAGACTTCTCAGCCTTGAAGATGGGCAGATCATTATTGACATAATTGACATCTCTACCCTGAAAAACTCTAGCTCTTAAATTCCATGCTGTGTGGTCAGGAATAGGAGCTATCTGTGATTGAGGATTAAAGCTTACCTAGCTCATATTCATTTTATTCTATAGATAAAGACCATAGCAGTCTCCAGAAAGAGAGGTAATGAAGTATGTTTGCTAGGACTTCACATGCTGCAAGTTGTTACACTTCATTTTCTTCTATTGCTTGCTTAAAGAGGATTGTCACTCATGGACGAACGTGAGGTGACAAGTGTGCCCACATTCATTTTCTTTGTTGCGTAAGTTACATATGGTGATCTGAAATAGGAGATCATACTTTATCTAGATTAGTCTTCTGGGATCTTTTGATAGTGAGATTTTTGTGTAAAGTAAGAGTACCTTTCTGGCAACCGGACAGGAAGCATCACAGAAATGGACAATTCCATTTTTCTGGTTATCGTAAGTAATTGTGGCACAGCAGATTAATTTGTGTGTGTGTTTGATATGTCTTTATTACAGAAAGCAAAGTTAGAGGCAGCCGTGGGGAAGAATGTCTCTGAAGAAGGAGAAAAAACATGCACTCCCGTAGAAGAGTCTGGGGAGGAAAAGAGGGGTTCTGCTACTGCTGGAAATCAAAGGCAGCAGTCAGGAAAGAAGGCCGGCATGCAGGAGATAACCCATGAAGTCCCTGGTGTCAAACAAAGGTACAGCATACTTATATGCCATAGATATCAGTTGGCACTTAATGTAATAGGCTAGTAATAGTTGTTACACAACCCCACAAAACCTCATTTTCTTTTTTATCCTTATTTGCAAGGAATGAAGTGGAAGTTTCAGGTTTAGTAGAACTGTAACATTATAATCTTTCCTTCATAGGCTTTTCTAATACGCAAAAACGGAAACAATGCAGCTTCTAACAGGCTTGATCAAAAGTATCCTCCTATTTAAAAGAGTAATTCCAGTATGCTTAACCTTTAGTTGATTGCTCAATTTGTGTGTGTGTGTGTGTGTGTGTGTACATACCTACAGTGCTTTTGATTATTCTTTCTTCCCTCCTCTCCCCTCCCATTTTAAGGAAATAATAAATGCTCCTAAATATCCATGTCTATCTTCCTTTGTGAATTAAGCTCTTAGTAAACCCAGGACACCCTTGACAATGTAGGTGAGACTGTTCTGGGGTAGTCCTGCTAAGGGTGTATATTAGTCTTTCTTAACCTGGTGTCTTCCAGAGGAGTTGGACTCCCAACCATGCTGGTTTGGGGTGGTGGCACATCTGGAAGACATTAGATCAGGAATTCTGGTCCGTGTGAAGGATCGTTTGGTGGTGCTTTCGTTTGGGATCCCTGTCTGGGATAGCTTGAAAATGAAGCCGTGTTTTCTTATCATGGACGTTTTGCTTTTGAATGCTTTGTTTTATCTGAAGTCAGTTTTTAGCAGAATCAAACAGCTGAGAATAGCATCACCTAATTCTTGAAGAAAAATGCTTTATTCTGGTAGCTGAAATTTTAAAGTGCCATTGATTGTTTTTGGCTTTGTACATGTGCACTTTCTGACAGCACATATGGCAGCCTCCAATATTTCCCTTTTTTTATTAGGCTTTTTAAAAAGCTTTCTGTTGGAAATAATAGGTCCCCCCCCCCACAGCCTAATTACAAGCTACGGGGCAAGAAGAAGGAAGGCCCACCTGCAGCCCTGATTTGCGTGCCAGTGGTTCCCATTCAGTGCTGTACATTACAGCAAAATATCCTTTGAGCCAAGCTAGCTCCTAGTGATCATCTGGACAGTCTGTGGAGTTTATTTGGTAACGATATAAAAGTGGTTTGCTACTGCCACTTTCTGTGAAAAATTTTCTATTTCCCAATATAACTTGCAGCCCTGGGATTTCCTAGTGGTCTCCCATTCAAATACTAAGCACTAAACCTACTTTCCTTTTCAAGGTCAGCCAGAGGTTTACTCTGTGCTTTCCTTGTTGAGATGAAATAAAGGCTGTAGCAATTTTATTACAAGCTAGGTACGTGCTAAAGATAATTTTATTAACCTCAATTTTAGAGAGCTCACAGTGGCTATTGCTATCAAGCTATTGTTTATTTTATTACTGTATTTTGGCAGTGTGTTTATCTTACACACATTTTATACAGCATTTACTTTTTGAAAATTTGTACACCCTCTGAAGATGTGTTATCTATCAGGGAGTATATATGTAATGATAATCTATAGTTGTTTTATGGAAGTTTTCTGTATCATGATTTAGTAGTATTAATACTGAAGTTATCTTCTGCCTTCTTCTTCTGTCTTGCAGTCAGACACATTTTGAGAATAGTATTACAGTGTATTTCCACGCCGTTCTATCTAAGGACTTCAAGATAAATCCGGACAAGCATAAAATATTCATTAGGGCAGAGGGAATTTCTGGTTATGCTGACTGGAAGGATAATGTCTGTGAGCTGAGCTGTACCAAGTAAGTGTATCTTTGTACGTACTGGCGTAATCCGAGTCCAGGGCTAAGAAGCCTTCGTTAACATGTGAATTACATGCGAGGCATTTAGCCCTTATTGCAACAAATGCTCTCCCCCTCATTTGTTTTTCAAGGTTAGACTTTAGCTCGCTCTGAATGTGCGCACGCTTATGTTTGCATTTCAGCAAAGTTAGCTTGGGACAGGCACTCACATTATATCTTACATTACAGGAGAAAGGCAGTTAGAGAAAACCTGGATACTTTTGCTGCCAATTGTTCACGAATAATGGAATTCATACAGAGAGGGCACAGTCTCTTCTTTGTGCAAAGCTGCGCACTGTGCAAGGGTGCGGGTATATTGGAGTGAAGAAATGCTCTCCTGTGTGATTTATGCTCATATCGTTGGCCCTTCATACATACAACAGGAAGCTGCCACTGCCAGTATTCCAGTAGGGAGAAGGGGGGGCATTACCTCTAATCTAATAACGAGCAGAAGAAGAGGCAGGATCCCAGAGCTCTGCACCTAATGCGGTCTGCAAAGAATGGAAACTGGTGGTAGTTAATATTGTTTTTCGCTTTTGTAAAATTGGGGCAAACCCGCAGCCTTGATTATACTTACTGATGGTGATTTATGAAGGCCTGTTACTTTTGAAAGTGAAAAGGAAGATTTAGTATTGCATTTTACTTTTACTGTTAAAACATTTAACAAGAAATGTAAGCCCATTCCAGTTTCAGGAACAATATTCAGGATTTTATATGCCTCTAAAATTTTATCTCAACAGTAAATTGCTTCCTTGCCTGTTACTCTGTTTTGTTGCTAAAATACAGTGTTTTAAATGCTAGGAATCTTAAAGATCATGGATACCTGATTGAAGGCCACATCATAATTTCTAAGGAAAACTTGGATAAACCAATTTCTTATAAATACATTGTTATATGTGGCGAAGAACTGTCATATGAATTCATTTACAAACCTGTTTCAAGAGTACATGTAAATCGCTCCTTGCTTTTATCATCAGAAATTATAAGTGGTACAGGTAAGGAATTGCCCTTGTATTACAATCTTTTCAGTGTTATATTAAAGAAACTGAGATTGTGTAGTATCCAAGAAAATAAAAATCCAAAATATGGAATAGAACAGTTTGTCCAAAGAAAAGTTTTTAATACTGGATCAGGTATAGCAAAAGTCCTTCCTGTTTTTTCCTATTTCAGCTTTTTTTCTTATATTCATATAAACATATGTTTCAGTTTGTCTCAGTTTGTTGTTCAGTTTAATTTTTAGTTGTGGAAGAATGTGTCCAAGTAGGTATTTGACAGGTGCAGCTTCCCCAGTAAGTTGACAGAGATGCCCTTGAGGAATGTACACCTGATACATCTCTACAAGGCATTGTGCTTCCTCCAAATTCCACCTATTTTAATGATTGGTCAGGCAGAAATTCAGCAGGTCTATGACTATTTCCTTGACTTTGTATCTCAGCTGTGTCTGCCCAGCTGGCATATACCTCTGAGTGGACTTGAGTAATTTTATCCTCTAGTTACCATGCAAAATCATTGCAACAGCCTAGCAGACAATCTTCTGCCTCAGTTTTTCTTGTTAGATAGCCACTTTAAGTAATGCTACTTGGTGGCTCTCTGCAGATACAAGAAGAGCAAAGAAGCGAGTATGCTTCACAGCTTTTACTGCCACAGGGTAGGCTTGAACTTGGGCTCTTACCTGTGTTTGGTTAGATTCACTTTTCATTTTATACTAACATTGCTCTAGACATCCCTTCAGTAGAATTATCTCCTGGAGCTCCTTGGAAAACCAAGGGGCTCCCTTGGATCAATGACTACTTAGAAACATCCTCTCATCTGCCACAGCCAATCCAATATTCCAGCCACCCACTCAGCAGAACTGCCTGCTAGAACTTCACAAAACTCCCTAGGTGTCCTTGGAAACTAATAGGATCCTTTAGGAGCTTGGGGTGGACCGCTCAAAAGTCCTCCCTACCTGTAAACTCCATAGTGACCTGACTATGACAAAGGACCCCCACTCTCAGAGCATGTCTAGTTGCTCTGAGATAAAATCTCAGAACAAACATATGTCTGCCTTTGTGGGTCAGGTCCATAATAATTTGGGATTGTCATGGTGGGGCTGTGACCCCATGAGTGGTGTCTCCTCCCCCCAGCGAAGGCAAATTAAAATGCCCCTGAACAATAATTTAGGGGAGTCCAATACCAACTGAATGATGAGATTGAGCAGCCTCTGTAGAGATAAAGTTGCACAACAAGGGGAGGGAGGCTCAGAGCAGCAATACCACTAGCCTATAAGGCCCAACCTCACAAACAGCATATTTGTTGGGACCTTTGATGTAGTAAGGAATTTATTTTTTCTTGCACTATTTTTCCCCTACCTGTTCGCTTGAAGGGTCTAGAAACCAAGCTCTGTGAGGGGTAGTTAAAGGATCTGGGTATATTTATCCTGCAGAATAGATGACTGAGGGCAGATAGGATAGCGGGTTTCAAATACTTGAAAGATTATCACATAGAAGAGGGACTGGACTTGTTATCTGTTCCCTCAGAGGGCAGGATCAGAACTATTTTGTTAAAACTTCAATGAAATAGATTCTGATTAGACATCAGGAGAAACTTCCTGACTCTCTGAATTTGCAGCCAGTGAAATAAACTGTCACAAGCAGTAGTAAATTCTCCTTCCCTGGAGGTCTTCCAGCAGAGCTGAATAATCATCTTATTGACCTAGAGGATTTTGCACTGAGCTATTTCTTGTACTGTATGATCTCTATAGTCCCTTTCAACTCTGTCATTGAATTTACCATTTTGGAGAGATTACAACAGATCTTAATAGTTATATTTTTGTTTCCCTGATTTTCTTATTATAATTTTTAGTTGCTGTGATAATGGAAACTGGATGTAATTTTTTTTTTTTTTGGTAACGGACAGTAAGTGGGCTTTTAAAAAAGGAGGAAAAAAGTATTCTAGTTTGGTCTGCTGGAGACATATATGACTGGCAGTCAATCTCTTCAGTGTCTAGCCTAGTCCAAATAATAGTGTTTCATTTTCCAAGCTATGCTGATCTAGTTTCAGGTTGTATTTATGGAAGAGCAGACTTTATTTTATTTTGTTGAATTGGCCATTGTATCTAAGCTTGCTCACAAGATTCAACTGGAAACAACATTCCTCCAACAGATTTAAGATTAAAAACTAGGTCATATAGTTTCTGGCCTTCTGTGATAATAATAGAAAACAATCTGCCATTTAGATATCTAAAAGCCAAAAAGAAAATTCTGTTCTCATCCTAGTTGAGGATATCTATAAAACATACGGGTTGCATGCCATTGTTCAGGAAGCTGGTAGTCACTAGTGATCATTGCTATTATTAGGAAGCTAATAGTCACCAGCGGTCATTACTTTTGGATTTAGCAATTTACTTACAATTACTTATAATTGCTAATTCCTAAAGGTAGGAATTGCACATTTATTTATCTGTCTACTGCTGTACTGCAAAGCACCTCCCAGCAGCGAAAAACATAAAATGAATGTGGATGGAATATAGTAGAAATACCTTCTACAGAGGTTAGAAGAAAATGACAATATTTGTGTGTCCACGTGGTTTGAATATGGAAGGAGACCATAAAAAGGCGGGGGGGGGGGGCTTGAAAATTGCATCATGCGGTTGCATTAAGCACACAAGCTAGAACTTGCATTTCAGAACTCTAATATTTTATTTAACAGATTGGCATCAATATGATGACATAATATGTGTTAAACCCAACGAGAGTTTATGGCAGAAGATGAAGAATCGCATGCCATGGTGGAAAGATAAGGAAAAGCATATTGTGGAAGGGAAACAGATAGCAGCAAGAATAATGCTGGACAGCCTCTTCAGTATACTTCTTCCCTGGAGCCAGATTAACATCAAAAGCTTTTTCCAGCAGTTCCAGCAATTTTACTTTGTGAATAAAAAACCAATGGTAGATGAGGGAGAGCGGAAGGAATGGAAAGAGCTACAATTTGGAGAAGAGCAGGTATTCTAATCTCTTTATTACACACACAAATAGAACTTTGTGGCCAAACCTCTATAGAGTTTGTATCATCTTGACTGTGCTGGGCAAAGTGCTCATTGTTACAGTGCCCTTGGCACAAAATGATGCAGCTAAGTTATTAACCTGGGCTGAGTACTGAGTTCATATAATGCCTAGGAAAGGCGGAACATGGACTCAGTCATTGTGGGAATGAAATGCAACTCATCAGGGAATGCACTGAGCATTGTTCGGGAGGCAGGCCACCTCTGCGCATGTTCCACTGTGGACCACATAGGATTCTGGCATCAAGGGTATGCTCTGATGTTTAAAACAACTTTGTATTTCAAAAGTGAAACTGATGCAGGATTTAATTCAATTGGGAAACCATTTCTGGATTACAACTCTTATAGCACATCTGAAATTTGGGTTTCTCTTAATATAAAGTCTTTAATTGTTCCCGTAGAAATTACTGTAATTCCCAATTTTATGCTTTATAACGTGGGGACTATTTGTGTTGATATTCATATCTTGGATTTCAAAAATGACTGATAACTTTAGTTATATATTTAAAGCAATCATTGAAATATTGAAAATGTTAACCTAACTCTGTGATGGTTGTAAACTCCCTATTTACCTACCTTGCACTTTGTTTCTTGCTTTGTCTTTTTCCCCCTTCTCTTTGAAGTCTTTTTGTGGGTCTTTTCCTTTTTTCCTCTTAAAATGCTTAATTAAAAAATATTGATTGATTGATTGATTCTGGTGTCATAATGGTCACATTTTGAAACAGTTGAAGTTCTGAAGACTTTCAGATTGTAGAAAGTAACTTAAATTGTGATGCATGAATAACTGTGGCCAAATCCTGGCAGCTCAGGAGCAATTACAGTTGGTGCAGCGGACATACAGTGGTACCTCTAGTTACGAACTTAATCCGTTCCGTGACTCTGGTTGCAACTCGAGTTGGTCGCAACTCGAGGTAAATTTTCCCATAAGGTTCAATGTAAATACAGTTAATCCGTTCCGCCCTCCGAATTTGGTCGCACCACGAGGCAAATTTCGCCATAAGGTTCAATGTAAATAGTGGGGCAAAAAAGTATTTAGTCAGCCACCAATTGTGCAAGTTCTCCCACTTGAAACGATGAGAGAGGCCTGT